AGACGAGAGGATGCTCTCTCTCTTTCTCTTCTCTTTTGGCCCTCTCTCCAGAAATATCAGATATCTTTTCATTCACTTTCTAGACTTTCTCTGTCCTCATATATCTTTCTCTCTGTTTTTGAATTGTCTTTCCTTCTTTACTTGGTTTCTCATTCTCACTCTCCCATTTACACATACAGTGCACACTCAGCTCTCATCATCTTTTTCCTCGTCCCTCTGTCTCATGGGGCTGTTTTACTGGTGTCCCAGCTATGAGCTTAGCTGGGCTAGGGATGTCAATTACAGGACTATGATAGGGCCCCTGCTGCATTATGCATGGAAGTGTCCCGCTGGGGAAAAAATGGCCTACAGCCAGGAACGATGGATGGAGGGATGGAGGGATGAATAATGGATGGAAAGATGGAGGAGCAAAATACTATTGCAATCTGTGTCTCACCAAATTGAAGACTTGTCCTGGTGCACACCTCTGAAGCTCAGGGCCAAGTCACCCTGGGTGACTCAGAGTCGGGAGGTTGACGTGTGAGAAAGCACAGGAGGGCTTTAATCAGTATTTCATTTTGTGCGTTAAAACCCAATGGGGTATCACCATCAGAAAGGTCACTAAATGTCTTTTTTCTGTTTCTCCTATATGCAGAAAGCTTTTTATTGTGATCAGTTTTGTTTGTCGCCTAAGTGTATGTGTGCAAGAGTTTGTGCACATATTCACTGAACGTATTTGTGCAGTGTTCTCTGAGCCTTAAGACATGGTACATGAAGGAAATCAAGAACAAGAAATATAATTAACGTAGTGTAATCAAGTCTAGAACATGACTAAGTAGAGAAGAGTAGAGAGTTAATCTTTATCACCCCCGAAGGGCAATCTGTTGCACAGCTAGCAGTCAATTAAAAAGCAAACAGAGATCACAAGCATTAAAAGCAGACACAAGACAGGGCTTACACATTTGAATTAATTTACATACTGTAAATATGTCAGTGGCCAAGTTTAAATCAAACTTCCCATCATTAAGTGTCTAGTAGTGTGCAATAATCGGAAAATGATAAGTAACCTAAGAGGGTACAGTCCAAATTTGTCTTTCTCTTCTGTTACCTCTATGAGTGTCATTGATAATTTATTAATATAAAATCCATTCCAAATATCTTTGAATATATACTCTTTTATGGATTTCCATCAGTCATTACCACAAGTAAAGGTCAACTATTAAAGTGGAGGGCAACTTGTTCAGATGAAGAAATGGAAGGGTTTTTTAAATTGTATAACCAAGAACCCTCAGAGTTGAACAAAAAATCTTGTGTTATCCCAATCAACAGCTGAGGAACTGTCACAAAATAATCAATAATGACTAAAACCAACATTACAATTTTGGTTGCAAGCACAAAAACATCATTAAATGTTGACAATGTTTTGATCATAGGATGTCAACAAGTGTGAGATGCAAAGACATAGACGAGTGGAAGTTGTTTTGTAGTGTATAATGTATCTACACAGTTTCTGAGAGTTGCAGTATTACTTAATGCTTGATTGATTGTAATTGTTGGTGCAATCAGCAGCTTTAGTTGTTTTGTATCCTATTTGCTAATCTGCAAAACAGAGAATTTAGAAGCACATTGTAAAAAAAAATGAATGTCCATATCCGTATTTGGATACGGCACAGAAACTGTTGAAAAGTAATCAGGGACAAACATTCATCCCCGCAGCAGACTTTAGATTCAGATCTGTTGTGGAGATGAAAGGTGTGTACTCATGTGCAGGTGCTACATATAAGAGTCTTTTTATGTGTGTATCCACGACAGGTCCCTGATGTCAACTAATGTCAGTCAGTGTATCAGTGAATGTGAAAGATGCTGTTGTTATTCATTCCCACCATGGTGGGATGACACTATTTGTCACTGTAGTGATGGATTCCGCATCCCTCAGAGGAGCATGTGCAAGCGCCGTCTCTGAAAGGCTGTCTTTGTGTTTCACACTCACTCACTCACACGCACAGACACACACACATAACGCACTGCTGGAGCTGACAACAAAGGCGTGCTTATCCAATTGTGGGGGAATAAGATTAGGCTACAAAGAAACTCATAAGGCTAATGTTAGCATCTCCTGCTCCAGTGAGAGCCTTTGTTTGTGTAATCAGGAAAAACATGGGATTAGATTTGAGATGCTGTCTCGGAAATGATGCCCATAAGACCCTATTGTATGATGTTGACATGTTCCTAAATAACAGAAGGCAATGGCCTGCCTTCCATCTGATAAAGCAATCCTCAGGGAAATAAAGAGTAGTTGTGTTGTTCAGATATCCGATTTTGCTTTCCTCCAAAATAGACTGTCTGGCAGACCTGGCCTAACCTATGTCTCTACTCACTGTTTTCCTTTATAATTGACTTGTCACTATAATAAGGTTATGGCAAGGAAAGAAAATAACTCCTCTGTCATGTGGTGTTTTAAGATGCTAATCTTTACTTGATGAGAGCAGCTCGCGTTACAGCTTACTGTCAGAGGCAGCTATATGTGGTCTTGTAGCTGTGTGAATAGACTGTGAATCCAACAGGTGAAGTAATTGTAGCCACCTTGTATCAGCACTTTGAAGTAGAACCACTTTTTATGACTTTTTAGCAGAAGCACTATATTGTGTAGTTTATTACTACATATTGTAGTTCACATATGTGGACAAACCTTGAATAAAAGCAGACTAAAATTGAGTGAAGCATAAAGACATTCCTTCTGTAATATAGATGCATCTTTAACATATTTGTCACAGTAGTAGGGTGTTACGGCCCTTTGAACAATACTTTTCAGTAGAGACCTGCAGTTTGCCATAAATTCTCCCACCAATGTGAGGTCAATGGTGGCTGGGACACTTAAGATCTAGAGAGTGTGAAAGGAATTCTAGACAGTCCTGTGTTGTTATATGGGCCAGGAGAGAGAGAGACCATTCATTCGCACCTCTGTGACCCCTCTCTCATTCTTCTGTTGAAGAATAGCTTGCCTCTCACGCACAGTCAGCCATAAGCCCCTCAGGGCACCCAGAGCCTGTTACATAAGACAGAAGTAAAGAATGCTCCAGAAAAGTCTTCAGCCATGACCTTGGCTTTGACTGAGGACTCTTAGCCTACCAGGCTTTGTCTTATGGTTAAAAGTCACATGTCCTGTATTCCTGTTTGTATGAGAAGCTGAACATTTCAGAGTTATTGTATAATACCAAGCATGAAATAGATGGGGTTCAAACTGCAAGATGGTTTAAAATGGCAAATATAACACTGGTCCAGACTGAAATACAACAAACAGTTGTACAATTAACAGACATTAATGGTTCCCAGGCAATGTATTATGCTGACTTTGGTTTATCACTAAATTTCTGCAAAACTAATGACATTCCCTTGCGCCTTAGCTGCACTTTGTGTTTAGTGCTAATTAGCAATTATTATATTAGCTAAACATCAGCATGTTAGCATTGTCATTGTGAGAGTGTTCACATGATTATGTTAGCATTTAGCTTAAAGAGTTGCTAGTGTGGTTGTAGACTCCTAGTCAATATAATTTTGTGGATAAAGTTCTTGTGAAAAAAGGTTAAAGAATCCCAAATGCTTGACCCTAAAATACTTTTTAAATTTTTAGAATAGGTCCATTTGAAGAAAATTACAACCTCCAACATAATTTCTTAAAAAAGGTTATGGTACACTTTATTTTACCAGCAAACTCAACACTAGATACGTGTATCTGAATAATAAGTGTACCTGTGCCAATCCTTTTTCAGCAGCTCAGTATTCCCTGCTGGCAAGGGTCACATGCAGTGAAAGAAACTTTCCAAACCCTCGTCAAACCTAAAATTTACTTTCTTGACTGAGGAGAAAAGAAAAGTTAAGGGGAAACCACATTCTTAACTTGTACCTTTTCAATCAGATATCTAAAATGGACATTAGGGGAAACCATTATCTATATAGAGTAGTATTTACCAACTCACATGTGCAAGCAATTACATTGGAATTTAGCTGCTGACGGCCTTGTTATTCCCTCTTCAATTTTGCTTGGATGAGAGTTTTGATAAACTGCTCTTATTGGCTGAAAGGTTTAATGAGGCCTTTGAATTGTTGAGTAAGACACACACACACACACACACACACACACACACACACACGTGCTGTGAAAGTTATCCTTACACTTTTATTAGTGTGTATGTTGTACATTATCTGTTCATAGGAGTGCACAGAGGGAAACACCAGTTGCTATATTTACATACACTCCAATCATAACCATATCCATATGTTTAATTTCCTTGTGAGAAATGTGCAAGGTAAATCTTAATTAACTTAATTGCTCAATAAATCAGTCATGGATATCTGATAATTATAGATGCTTGTAATTTTTTAAAATATACTCATATGACAAAGCTTTGTTCTCAGTTCTTTACTTTTTTATCTCCATAAAGATCTTAAAAGGGTTGGTTTATAATTATCTTTTATTGTAAAAAGCAACATCTAAACCCTCTTTAAACCTAAAATTTGCAGCATTGCCTTGAAGTCACATTCAGAAACAAAGTAAAAGAGGAGTGGGAGCTATAAAACCACCCTGCCTCGATAAATCTACAACAGTTGGGCAAAAACCTCTCAAAATTGGATATTTTATTTTACCCATTGTTGGTTGAGAATTTTAGTCCAGGGAACATGATGTTCTTGCTTGATGTTTGTACAGGGCAGTTAGGTTTGGCAAGAACACTTGATGAGTAAGCTGCCCTTTGCTAAACATAATGTGAAAGATGGAGAAAGGGATGGGCACTTAGTGACTCCCATACTCATTAGTACGCACACGTGTTTGTTCATCTTACATGGCGTGTTCAGGCTAAATTTTCTATAATCATAGGTGTGGAACATTACCTCAGTAACTCTTTGATCTTTTTGGATGATGGTACAATGTCTTCCTCTCTTTGAAACGTTTATATACTTTGGTTAGCTCTTGTTTGCTTTATCCGTTTTGTTAATGTGTTATTTCTGCAATTTGTCTTTCCCAGCCCGCATATAATTTTCCTGTCCCAGAGTGCATTGTATGCTGGGAGTCCTGGTTCTGAAGGGAATGGCCTGTCTCTGTGTGGGTCCAGGATTTGCCATGAGATCGCCCATTCCTGGTTCGGCCTGGTAATCGGAGCCAGAGACTGGACGGAGGAATGGATCAGCGAGGGCTTTGCCACCTACCTGGAAGACATTGTCTGGGCCCAAGCACAACATGTAACGTAACAGTACAGTTGATGCCAGTTCATTGCAGTTTACTACAGCTATTAAATGAAAGTCACTTAATGGTCTTTTTTTTGTCACCCCAGGTTGACGAACACTTTTACATGGCTATTTACTATGTGCTTTTAGATACACCATTTTGGCTAACTTGTGAAGCCCAGTTTGCTGTGGCCATCTTGAGGAAATTACCACTGAGAAACAACTTTCCCTAATTGGAAATGAGAAACAACCTTAGGAATCATTGTGTTAATATTTGTGACTTGTATGCAGTTCATTTCTTTCTTGTCATTAACTAGAAAGACTAGTATGCAGTATGATCCAGCACCTTTATACCATTGGTATAAAGCAACAACTCTGTAATGAAACACATGTTGACATTCCAACCTCCACAAATTATGTGCCAGGATTTCCAAATATTACTGTTGTGGTTGGAATGCATGTCAAGTAGAGCTAACCATTACATTAATGTTGTAAAACCGTACGTCAAGCACACGAGGAAACAGTTTATAAAGATGCCAAGTTCCAATGCAAAGAGGCACAAACAAGAAACAGAAACTACCTCTGAAAGATCAGAGGAGTTGGCCAAACAAAACGAAAGGTAAAAAAAAAAAACCACAGAATGAACCATCAAACCCCAACCCTGACCAACTAAAATGTAAGAGGACTAAGCTGAACCACACAAGAGTTGTACTACTGACACCTGCTCCTTGTGAAAAATCTGAAAAATTAAAAAAAGTAGATTAAAGAAAAAAGAGACAGTGTACTTTGCACTGCTCCAGATGTCCTTCTAATTAAGGATACCTGCAGGAAAAAAAGATAAGCAATAGGACAAAGGAAGAGGGTGTAATACTGGCATGAATCCTTTGCTTGCAACACTAACCTCAGGGATTTGATATGCATACAGATCTAATCCTCCTCCTTGCTTTCCCACACCATCTAGAGTTACATAAATGTTTTTCTTGTGTCTGCGCTGTTGAATCGTGTCACCTTTATGATATGAACTTGGCTCCGGAGAAGTCAATTCAAGCAGACTTACTCCTGCCAAAATCAATAAGACATAGTGACAGATAATGCTGCTTGCTTTTGCTGATGAAATTCACAGTATTTATTTTATTTATTTAATTTTTCCACCTTCCTTTCCCTCACATCTTTTATTTCTCCCTCCAGCTTTCCGTACAAGGGACAGCAGAACAGTCTGACCTGAAGGCACTGCTGAGGTGGAGACGACTCTCTGATGAGTTGAAGAACTCAGAGGAGGTACTTCAAATCCTCAGGTGTGTGTGTTTTTTGGTCAAGTACATCTGTTTTAATTTTCTTACCGTACTATGGAGGACATAACTCCTTACATATATATATATATATATTTATATATATATATAGAATAGTGCAGCAGCACCTTCAATAGGCATGCTTAAAGCAGAACACAATGACATATTTCACATAATATTTTTATATTTTGCCCTGTTGAAAATATGCATTAGGAGCACTTTCATTCAAGGAGAGGACAATGTTTAAGTTACATTTGTCTTTAACTAATTCTCCATAGTAGACACAGTCTATTCTGTTTTTTTAGGTTAAGGTAGGGTGGTAGTGTCTGCGTGTGCAGACACACATATGAGCTTGAAATATACAGTATGCATTCCAGGGGTACAGGTGTGGCAGGTGTGGCAAGTATATCCAGGTGTACTGTACTGTCATGTCTTAGAAAAGCAAGTACGCACAAACACAAACTCTTCATGTGATCCTGACAATGTGGGACCCACACCCTGTTTGTTTTATCCAGGGTGGAAGCACAGTGTCATCAGGGGATTATAGGTGTAAACCTCAGCCTGGAGTTAACCGTTTGAGGGTGGGAAAATGTTAACACTTGTTAGCACTCTATTTTTCATATTGTTGCTTCCTTTGAATAAAAAAAGCCTCTTCACTGGAGATTACGCTATTGAGATTCACGCTTGTAAGAGACCGTACAGAACGTGACAGCAAATCAATGTTTTATTGATTTCATGGCACTACTGCTTCGCACAAACTTCTATGTCACTTTACTATGAATTCGTTGTCATCACAGAATGGAAACACGTATAAATTTATAAATTAATAGTATTTAGAATTCAAATCAATTTAAGCTGTCCTCAATGGTGCAAGCTACATTAGTGGAACACTTCAGTGTTTGCATTGTTATTCGTTACCTTTCAGGACCATCCTCATGGGTTTAAATGGCTTTAAATGGCTTTAAATGGCTTCAGTGCTTCAAGGGTGACTTTGTTTGTAAATGTGTTACTCTTTCTGCTAATAGCCTCTAGTGTATGTTATGCATTATGAAGTTTCACAGTTGTGGTAGGCTTAAATATGATAAAATTCATTATTGTGACCAAGATATATCTTGAAATAGGAATCTGTGTGTGAACGAAAGGGTTAAACATATACTTTTGTCTGTCTATCAGGGTGTTCCCCTATGAGGCAGACGCATGGGTGATTAGGAGGATCAGTATTAGGTTTCTCTGCACCTGACAGGGTTAAATCAACAACATAAAACTTCTGCAAAATTCCCTAGCAATACATGCACTCACACATAGGCAAAGACTTACACGCCCATATGCGTGGATGCATACATTTTTACTGATTATGTTACATGGAAACACAGTATTGAATAGACAAGTAATTGCTTAAGTGGCCCAAGGAAAAGCTATTTCTTAATCCTCACATCTCTTACAGCAACAATAAAGCCTATTGAGGCATAAAGGAACCCTGCTCATACATTATCTTAATGACTAAACACAGTCAGGTACAGTTTTTACTCTGCAAATACAATGCAGTTTTCTTAGAGCATCAATATTCCCTGTTTGGTTGTCATTTCTCAATAATTTCATATGATTTTCAAGTTTCCTTGAAATAGCTTTTCAATTTAGTACTAATTATGTGGAAAATGGAGTCAGTGTTCAATAATATCCGATTAATTGCTGTGTATCTTTGTGCACAGCAGGTCAGCTGAACATGCAGAAATGTGAAATGTGCCTACAGGCAAGCATACAATTCAATATGAAGAATAAGGTTGCCAGTAATAAATGAATAATAACTGAATATTTACTTGGATTGAAGCAGAGCCGTTCTTTCAAGAAAATTAATATTATCCTAGGAAATTTACATAGTTATTTCCAGGAAACCCTCGCAGGAGATTTTCAAGGAATTACTACCAAATTGCAGACCTGTAAAATTAGGCGTTCCATTTTTTTTTATATCCCAATTCATATTCTGCAGCAACAAAATTAGTTGCTGAAGTTTTTTTGTTTTGCACATGGGTTTTGATGACATAACATGATTGACCTTGACCTTGGGAACAGTGTGCTCTAACCATAACCCCACCCCACAAAAAATCTCAACTTTCAGGTGCATTTAACCACATCTCATGGGTCTATTGGAGGGAGACTGTAACCCTATCTCAGTTCAAGGAGGGTCTTTGTCATTGTATGTGGTGTCCTTGATCTTTCTCTGGCCAATTACTTTGACCCCTTCCCAGTTGTTCATTCAGTCTCAAACAGTGGTCTTTCATTAAGCATCGTATTCTTTCTATTTATACTCTTCGTTTGATTATTATGTATGATTTTGCGTATGTTTGCCATATCATGATATATATTAGTTAGGGATGCACAATATATTTTTTCCAGCTGATACAATAACCAATTATTACCTGCTTCTCATTTTGTGTTTTAAAAAGAAGTTTTCAACCTGTAGTTTTTACACAACTGGGGGTATGAAAGTCTAGGAAAGATGGAAGATTTAATATCTCACGGCTCTGATCGAACCAAATCTAACTGACATCACTATTGTTTACGCAACAACAAACAAGCAACGGTTCTGATTCTTCAAATGTTCATTTGTTTTTTCTGGTAAAGTTAAAGCCTATCAATTGTTTTGCACTAGAATTAAAAAATATTATTAATATATATAATTTAACATATGATTATATAATATATATTTATTTGTATATAATTAAATTATTCTGTTATTTTATAAAAATGAAAATTTCCCATTATCGGGCGATAATTTGTCTGTCTGCATCCTTAATATTGGTACTTTATCAGAACAATTCTCATTAACACTGTGACCATATGGGGCATTGGAGGGTTTGATGTAACTAAGATCATAGTTTACTCCAAGTTGGGAGCAAGCCATGCTACTTTTTGGTGTGGGCCAAACTGCCAGTATGTCCAAGTTCTGAGGCGGGCTCCACTGTTAAGCATTACAAGTGTGGTGAAACATAGTAAAAATAAACACAAACTGGTTGTCAAAATGCACAGAGGCATGTCAGAGACAACACTGTGAAGGGAAAGGAAACGCAATGGGATCTACAGAGAGATATGCAGAACCTCACCGCCATACACGCATGCACAAATACACACATAAAGGCTAAATGGCAAATTGTGCTTTCCAAGTTCAGTGGGTCACAATCGACACCCCGTGATCCAGAAGGGGCCCCAGTGGCCAGTGTTTATCAGTCCATTTCAGATGAGTTATATTTAGGGCAGCCTGGGCCAGACGCCATTCTCCCTGCTGATTCACTGGGCTGCTGGGAGTGCTGCTCTACCTTATCCGGTTTCCACAGTCAACCCAGTGTAATTTGTCAGGATATGGCTCGCGGAGCTATAAACCTCTAAGTGTGTGTGTGTGTGTGTGTGTGTGTGTGTGTGTGTGTGTGTGTGTGTGTGTGTGTGTGTGTACGTTTCACATTAAGTTCTGTCAGTAATAGCTCCTGATTTCCTCCCGCTCTTTCTCTCTCTCAATCTCAGACACACCCAGGTATATGCATGGCTACTCACACACACACACACACAAACACACACAACCACCCTCCCTCTCACACACATGGCCTACAAGTCAGATAAGAGCACCATTTATTCTGCGATACATTGAGCTATTGTTTGATTCTCCAAGGCAGCGAGCAGCGATTCTTATTCAAGCTGTAGTAAATCATTACTGACAAAGAGAGACGACGGAAGACAGGGATTTACACATCCATACATCCCTGGTCTGGACAGTGGGAAGGGTGGAGTTCCTTTGTCTAACACGGCAGTGATGGATAAACATTTTCCCTCTCTGCACTGTGCCGGCGGTATCTCTGACGCACGAAACCGACAAATTTTCTCTTCTAGAAATACATGTTCTGTCATTGTTTTTGCCTCTTGATCCAGTCCCTCTTTCTCTCTGTACTTCTCTGTCTGGCAAATGCACACACACACACACACACACACACACACACACACACACACACACACACACACACAATTTCCCAGGGATACAGAACGTCCTGCTGTCATAAAAAGAGTCTATTTCATCTTATCAGTAGTAACAGACAGACATGGGCACTACAGGCAGGAGACTGGGCAGAGACCAAGTTAATGGCCATGTGGCCATGATACATGGAGAATAATAACTAAACAATGTATTTTATAATGCAGGTTTTTCCTTCTGTAAATCCATATATCCATTGTTTTTAATGTATAGACACTGAGCATCATTACTGTTCCAAAGGTGTTTCAAAATGTGTTTTCCCAATTCAGGTAATTAGTTTTGTGATTTTTCTCACACGTAAAGTTCATACGACATGCGCGCATGCACTCAATGGGGAGCACACCCTGTTTTGAATGATGAAAGTCTTTTTAAGAGTGTCCAGTCGAATTTAGAAATTCCAAGAAGCTGATGACTTCCTCTCTCAGTCCACTGAGCAAACCAAACATTCCCGTCTATCTCCTGTCCTCAATTTCTCCCACACATCCTCCTCCTCCTGCTTTTGTGCTAAACCCTAATCTACTCATCTCCCCCCTTGTCCCTGCTCTTCTGCTCACCATGCCTGGACAAAGACCAACTTGTGGCTCATAGCTGAAGCCTAACTCGAGAGATTAAACATTGTGGTTTTAGGTCATACATGAATGGTGTGAATGCGATTTTGAATGTGTGTTTATGGTCTCCCTGTTGATCTGTGTGTGTGTGTGTGTGTGTGTGTGTGTGTGTGTGTGTGTGTGTGTGTGTGTGTGTGTGTGTGTGTGTGTGTGTGTGTGTGTGTGTGTGTGTGTGTGTGTGTGTGTGTGTGTGTGTGTCTGGCCCTGTCATGAAGTAGTCCTGTGGAAAAGTGCTAGCCAGTGATGAAAGGTGTATTGATTAGTGGGCCAGGCGCCTAGCGTATCGACTTGGCAGGAGGGTGATCCTTCAAGGCCTTCCTATTGGCACACTGAGTTAATCTGCTCAGCCTGATCAATACCGGCTAACTGAAACTATCATTGCACAGCATCCCACGTCAGCGCCCTGTTTGTTTGTCTTTTATTGGGTTTATGTGTGTTTGTCTGTGTGTTTATGGAGGTTGAAGGGATGATTTGTATCTGTGTGACAGGGAAGGCGAAACCTAGAGCATGCCTCTTCTGTGCCTGTAGACGGGGGTACTTTTTTGTGGAAGTGTTATATGTTCGCTCAGTGAGTCACAGGCAGTAAAGTCAGAGCGCAGCACTGTGAGGTCATATAAACAGCGTAGCATGCTATTATAAATCTGCAGTTTGATTTCCAGCCTGCCTCAGGCAAAGTATGGCAACTTGGCAATGTGTTCACCATTGAGAGGACTGGCTGAGTGGCTGGATTTTGTGTTGCTGACAGTGTATTCTTGCTCTGTAGAAATTGTGGTTTTCCTGCATCTAAAATGTCTGTTAGAGTGGGATGGAATAAAAAACTCGTTGCTTAGGTTCTCTAACTTCATCCCTCTCCCCCTGTGTATGCACATTTCCTTACCTGTCTTATCTTTTGTGTGTATTTTTGTTTCTGTGCTCTATTTGTCCTTCTGCAGACCTAACATGGAAAACACTGGTCAGGTCAGTGAGTCTGGCTCCTCCACAGTTAAACATGCCCTCAACCCTGACAAAGCCTTCATGCAAGTCCACTACCTCAAGGTGAGATAAATGTGGGGCAGAAAGGAAAGGAGAAAAAAATGGATGAAGGTTGTAGGAAAGGAAGGGAACTATAAAAAAAAAAACTAATATGCTTTTATGTGGCCCACTTTTTGTTACATTAGATGTGCTTGGAACAGCACTTATATTCACTATAGATGTTGCTGCTGTGTTTCTCTGTGTTGTCTTTGATGGATCATGTCTTTATTCGTGTTGTCCCTTTGTCCAGGGTTACTTCCTCCTCAGGTTCTTGGGCAGTCAAGTGGGAGAGCAACCATTCATTGACTTCTTCAGATTATTTGTGAAGAAATACCATGGGCAACTGATTTTGTCTCAGGTGAGTCTGTAGTATAGGAAACTCATTTTTACTTGATTAACTTAAGAGAAAACCTTGTTGTTGACCTGCGGCTACTTGAGTGGCTGTTAATAAAATCTGAGCTCAGATTTGAACTGTTTTCATATGACCTGTCTCTGAGGCACGGTGTTATTTCCATAAATTAATTGGAGGCTCATGTCAACTGTGTTAGCAGCCTTTCAAATTGATGGCCGTACATCAGCTTTTAGCCACATATGTTTATTCTGCTGGGGCCACGAAGCTGAGTGATCACACCTGGAAGTCTGTATGTACGTGTGTGTCCGTGTGTGTGATATGTGATGTGTTCCACCTGGCTCCTGTTTCTTCGGTGGCAGGCTGAGTCTTCTCACTAAATAATGGATGTAACATAAACACAGTTTGACCTTGTACTCCTGACTTAAGATCAGGTATGCCTTTCTCTTTCTTTTTTTTTTTCTTCCTCCCACACCTCCCTAAATGCCTCCATTTCTGTCCATCTCTTTTTGTTCTTTTTGGACAGGATTTCCTGCGAATGCTGCTGATTAACTTTCCCGACATGGAGAGGTATGTAAGAGCCTATGAATAATGCTCACAGTGTAATTCATGAATAATGAAAAATATGCCAAGACGCATTAAAACCACTTTGGTTTCTGCTCAAGTATTGGTAGCCTAGTTTCCAGTTCCAGACAAAATTTTAAAGATATGTTTTTCATTAGTTTTCTGTTTGGATTAGATGTTTTTTCTCAACAGATGTGACTCATTACTAGATTTACTGTCAAAAACATGAGTATGTGTTGATTTTGCCTCTGTTCTTTGACTAACTTGGTCCTGCTGTGGAACATGACCAGCAAAAGCTTCCAACACCAATCCTGTTAAGAGAGCAGTCTCATCCACTCTGATATTAATTGAAGTGTAAAAGGATAACTGCTCCTCCTGCTCTCCTCCTCTCTAATTTTCTCTCTCCCTCTCTGCGCTCACTTAATCATTCAGTTCTCTATTTCTCCTGATTGCCTCATTAACCTCTTCTACTGCCTGTCTCTCTGTCCCTCTCTCTCTCTCCCTGTCTGTCTTTCACTTTGTTTCTCCCAGCACTTTAACGCTTCTGTTCTTAGCCCTCTCTTCCTCTGCTCTGAATGTTGTCTTTTTTTGCCATTTCTGTCATGTGGAGCGTGCTGCTGGACTAGTAGAGATAGATTGAATTAAACAGAGGAAGTTGGGGAAGTCAATATTTGGATCTGATGCCTCTTTCAGTAAACAACCCTCCAGAAGACTAAGGTTTAAGATGAGAATAGACACTCACGGTTGAAGGTCATGGCCATTCAGTGTGCAGGCTGCAGGGTAATGTACCCTGCCCATTCTAGTCTAAATTGGGAACATAATATTTACAAGACTAAACCTAAAAATTATTAACACACATTTTAAAAAATCAATACAATCATTGACTTGTGTTAATAAGAAACCACTGTTTTCAGGCATCACCATCGCTCGACAGTATGTTCTCAGATATCTCCATTACGGTGAATAACAAATAAAATGGAATAAAGTTACTAAGCTCAACATGAAAGAACCGGTAGATACATGTCTTGGCTGCTCTTGTGAGACATAAAGCTTATTTGTATTTAGTCCTATTATAAAACCGTATTTGACAGTGTGGTGTATTAACTGTATTAACCTTTTGTTTGCTCAAACAGAAAACTATGCTCACATAATCCCATATAATCCTACCTTATAGTATCTCTTTGTTGGTGTGGCAGATGTTTAGTCTTTATATATATTTTATATTACATATATTTTGGTTCAACTCCAAATGCCAAGAGCTAAAATTTCCTTGTGGTGATATCACCGATGACGTCCAGTTTCTGGGAAAATTGGTACTTTATGGGGAGTATTACCTCTTCTAGTACACTGTAGAGTGTAAAGACATTTTTATGAGCTTCAATTTACTGAACGCCCATTCTCCATCTGCCATAGTTGCCAGCAAATATACAATAGGAAATGATGCATTGGGACACGGACTTGTGGAAGCAAGGAGCAAAGTCTTGACCTTGCAACAAAATGCCAGTCTCTTTAAACCATTTTTAGCCCCAGTGGTGTGGCTCAGTATTGGTCAATGGTCTGTCTATTGGCCCTCCAGCTTGTTGGTACAACACTATGGTACAAAGTTTAAATATCTTGACATGTATTGAATAGCTTGCCTTGACATTCACAATTTATTGTGAGTGTGTTGCTAATATTAGCTTTTAGCTCAAAGCGTTAAGAGGGGGGTAAAGTACAGGTGGACTGATATTGAGCCAAGTCTAGCAATGTAGAGGTGAGTCTGAGATGTGCTTAAATTGCACATAGGTTAAACCCTTTATGGCACCTTTAGTAGGAAAGGTCTACGATTAGCACAGTTTTCTGGCATGTAATGAGCATTACAGTTAAATAGACCTATTTACGTACTGTAATACAGTGGTTCCCTTCCTGCACTTAATGTGTTCACTATGTGGTCTAAATTGCGCAGTTTATCAGTTTTTCTGTGCTGTTATTGTTATCGATTGAATATAAGGGTTAACCGTCTATAAAATATGTAACTTAATGAGGGGTCATCAGTTTACTCAATGATAGAAAAGGGGTCCCTTCAGGACCACTGCTGTAATAGATGACAGAAACATGTTGCAATCACACTGTCATGGAAAAGCTGTGCACAACACATGTGGTTGTGTTTATATTTAGCTATTTGTTCATGTGTAACCTGTGTAAAAGCAATGTTTAAGCATTTTGTTTGGAGAAAAAATGTGCAAAGGCGTGTTTACTTGAGATTCCCTTATCTGCGTATTCTGATTGGACTTAGATCTTTAAAATATGTTTTTGGCTAATGTGGGAAATCACTAATTGAGCTTCAGTTAGAAGAGCATAACTGAGAGAAAATGGGTGTACAGAAATGTAAATTACAACTTTCCATTACAAAATAACTCCTATAATGGGCTGAATATCACAGATTAATATACAGTAACAGCTTCAGACTAGCCAAGTGTGGAATTTTCCTTTAAGCACAGGCGGGCAGGATTGATGACGAGGGGATATGCTGCGTAGTTACTCTTCAACTTGGTGTGTACTTTGTATAGGTTACAGTTTTCATACACACTGGACTGCTTATAAATTGTTTATATGTGGGCACATTTGTCTTTGCAAGCCAATTCTGTCACAGTGTCTGTTTAGTGTATGACATATGACCATTTTGACGTGAAAACCATCCACTTGAGCCCTTCCTCAGCTACACTCACACACATATACACACATTATTGCTTACCCTACATGTGTACATATAAATCCAATTCATTGTCTGCACATGCCTGTTTGCTTGTCCGTGCATAGGAAAGTGGGTGTGCCCCTCTTTTTGTTTAAGGTGTTGGCCTAAACCTCAAGTCCGCATGACCCTCACAGTATTTTCCCAGAGCCATGTTTTCATCGGTTGTCTTGGGCAATAACAGTCATTGCTATAATAATAGGAATAATACTAACACTTGCCATTGTGTTCCAGAAAAGGCCTCACCCTCGATGCTATTTATGCTGACTGGCTCGATCGACCGGGAATTCCAAAGGTATGAAGAGTCCTTCTTTCTTCTGTCATTTATAAAAAAAATATAGTTTGACATTATTTCCTTAAAATATATGATATAGTTTCATAAAAAGCTAAACCACCAACCAAATGAACTAGTTAAACATTTCACTCTTAAATCAATTTAAACTAAAATGTATAAAATACATTATTTCTATGCGTGCTCAATTAACTTGTAGTCCATACAGTAATACAATAATTCAGCACCATTGATTTTGTGCTATCTGAACCTCTCTTTTCATTCTGTGCTTAAAGGCATCTTCTCCTTTTTATGTTTCTTTATCATAATGTGTAATAGCAACAACTTAACACACAGATGTTGTTTTGGGGTACTAATGTTGACCGTTAAAGTACTTATTTAGTATTTGTTGTGATCCTATTGTACCTGGCGCATGCATGCATAGAGCGATAATTTCATAGTCTTGTGTTTACTCATTAGACTAGTTTCTGGTTATAGAAGTGATTACTTCTTCCAATCTTGGTTTTATCTGGCTGTTGACAAGTCTTTGTTCAAACTTAGTCACTTTAAGATATCCAGACCTCTCCCATATACTGTACCTGTCATTGTTTTACCTTTTTTGTCAGTCCTTAAATGGTAGCATAATTCACTTTCACTTCAGTTTTCTTTTAGTTCTTCTTAGTTTTTCTCTGCTAAGCTGTTCTTACCATTCAGTGGTCACTTTGTGTTTACTGACAACATTCAACAACCTGATTGGCTGTATTTGAAAGCATGGTGATACCTGACGGCTTTTGTCCTTAATAACGAATCAGTATGGTTTTAGATTATTTCATTAACTAGATTGCAATGTAGGTTAAGATGTTGTATTTGGATCCAGTACAAAGCTAGCAGTAGTGGCAACATTTTGTGTTTTTGGGATGGGAATGCTCGAAGCAATTTGCTCTTAGATGACAGGAGCGGTGTAGCATTTGTCTCAGTATTTAATAGCTGTAAATAGCAGTGTAATGACGCTCTCATAATGAAAATTAAGTGTCATATTAGAAGTAAATAGCTGTAAATATATAAATCCTACAGCTTTAATGATGTGTGACTGTTAGCCAGTAGGCATTCTGAAACTGCTAGACAGTTATGGCTTTCCCCGATAACAGCATAAAACTTACTTGTTGTTCAACTTGAAGAACGTTTTTGAACATTTGATGACTTCTTGATAATAAACTTAATACCAGGCATCACTGGCTGTTTAGTAAGCATAGCTAGTTCTAAAAAGAGATGATGCAGTTATTTTTATTATAGTGCTGTTAAATCATTATCATCACCTTTCTTACCAGACTGTTACTATAGCTTGACAAGGTGAGCAGTGCTGCTCTGCCTCTGCCCTCTAATTGAAAAGAGACCCACGGTCATAGATACAAGGATTGCAAGGCTCACACACACACACACACACACACACACACACACACACACACACACACACACAATCAATCCACTTTAACAGCTTCTTCAATTCTCCCATCTCCATGGTAACTGATCTTAATTACCACTGTGTGTAAGTGTATTTTTGTGTGTCCGTGCTTGTGTTGCTGTCTGGGAACCATCACCTTCTAGATTATGTGATGATGTAACTGGATCCTTTCAGGGGGCCTCTGAGGGTGGGAAGGACAGCGTGGAGGGACTGCTGTTTTCTCACACCTGATTGGATGATGGCTAGAGTGTTCTTGCAGAGGCTTTTTTATGTTTGATGTGCCAGTCACCAGCTAATAAGATCAGCCGGATCGATAGAAACCTTTTACAAATGCAAGTGCTTGTGTATTATGTACACTAGGCAAAAAGACATTTTTAAGTCTCTCTCTCTCTCTCTCTCTCTCTCTCTCTCTCTCTCTCTCTCTCTCTCTCTCTCTCTCTCTCTCTCTCTTTCTCTTTCTCTCTCTCTCTCTCTCTGCACACTCACTGTCTCTGTCTCTCTCCTCAGCCTGCTATCCATCGCTTGACAATGTGCTTGAATTGGAGAAAGGCAGGAAATGGTTCGGCCTAATAATAAACAATGACATTCACCGATCCCGGACTAAGAGATGTGGAATGGGAAGGCCACTGCTGGCCTATTTTAGACCTCAGAGTTTAGATGAGTAAGCTCTCCCTTTGGGATGATGGATCTGGGCTGAAATACTTTACATTTAAATAAAGAGTACCCTTGATTCACCAGAGCTTTCAGTCTGGTACCTTCTCCTAACTCCTATAACTTACATTAACATTTTATGTTTGGCTTTTTCTGCTTGCCTTATCAAAATGTCTTTTTTAAGACCAATTATCATACACACAGTTACTTAAATTGCTACACCTAGTATTTTTTACTTTAACATTTACTGTTTTCCCAGGCAGAAATTGGATTTGGATTTACCTCGAGGTAGTAAGTCTGAGCAGCCTTTAAAAAAGTTAAATTGGCTCACATGACAAAGAAAAAAGTGCCAATTACTGGAGCTCAAACTTTCTCTGTTGGAAATTAGGGCCGTCTGCTGAACCTCAATACTTTTTATGAATATAGTGCCTCACAAAATTCTTGGTCAAATTTTTAGTCTCATTTGCTTATTTTTATTCCGATTGTTTGATTTAAATCCTAATATATTCTTATTTTTTATTTAGGATTCTTATTTTTGATCTCAGGGAGATTACAAAATCCCAAATTACTACTTTAAACTCAATGAGGGGTGTGATTTATTAGGTTTTCATACGTGTTTATGAGTGAGAGGTGTAAGTTCTGAACAACTTCTGCACGCAATCTGTTATTGATTCACTAGAGAGACACTATACAGACGGGGGCGCGGAATGAAGAGAGAGTTTGAGGTAGACAAAAGCCTTGCTATTCAGGGAATGGTAGTGGGGCTCTAGGCAGCAAAAGAGCTATGTGTGGTATCCTGTTACACAATGCCAATTTACTGCTTCAACACTCACTACATTCTATACAGCCCACTCTAACACCTCTCTCTCTCCCTGTACCTCTCTGTGTCTGCCTCTCTCTCTCTCTCTCTCTCTCCATCCTTGGCTTATACACACACCATCATGCTATTTCTGCTGGAGTACCTGTATACTGCACAGAGAGAAGTACTCAGTTATAGCACTGAACTTTGTGTGTGGCTAGTAGCTAATAGCTGGAAAAATAGCTTGTTTGTGTGTGTGATGTGACATTATAAACACCTTGCTTCCATGCACTTCTGTCTGTCTCCTTATATTTCTCCCACCACACACACACCACACACACACACACACACACACACACACACACACACACACACACACACACATTACCATAAACACATAGAACCCTCGCCGTCATCGCTCTGATATGTGATTCACATCACTTGAGCAGTGGCTCTGCTGAAAGCCTTAATAAGGTTAGAGAGTAAGTGCTGTGTGTTTGTGCCTACTAGCTGCTCTCTGTGCGTAGGTGTGTGTTTGCATGCATGGCTCTACGTGTGTGTAATGGTGGAGGAGTGGATGTGTAGAGGACTGAGGTGACCGTCCGTTCTGTAGTTGCTAGTTATTGAGGTGATTTTTTTCCTCCTCCTCCTCCTCCTCCTCCTCTTGTCTCTTCTCCTCCACTCTTCCTCCTTTCTCTCATCCTCCGGAGTCAATTCGCGAGTTTCCGTCAGAGGAACAAGTGATCGCGCTCCCACCTCCTCCCTCTCCTCCCACCTCTCCCTCCCCTTCCTGCTTTGCTCTCTCTCTCTCTCTCTCTCTCTCTCTCTCTCGCTCTCTCTTTTTCTCTCTCTCTCTCTCTCTCTCTCTCTCTCTCTCTCTCTCTCTCTGCCTCTGCAAAGCATTCCACTCTGTCCCGATCACTTGCCCCCGGCTCACTGCTTTCCCTTCTTCTCTGTCGTTCAGTGGCTGTATGAAAGGAGTGCCGTGTGGTCACAGGCAAGGCTGGTGGAAGAAGTCAAAGAAGAGGTAAGCACTCTCTCTTCTCCTCTCCTCTCCTCTCTTTTTTAAGTCTCTTCTTCTCATCTTAAGGGAGTGGCAGACAGACTCGGGGGCAGCGCTCACATTTGAAATATTGCACCTTAGACAGCTTGATATGATTGTCATCTGATTCTCATCACTCTCTTCCTTCACTCAGTTATTCTGCCATTGTTTCTCTGTACTGCTTCCTCTCTGTTTTTCTCTGCTCGGTCTCATTTACACGCTCTGTTTCACAATGTTTGATACCATCTCTTATCTCTACCTCTCTTGCACTCCATCTACCAATCTTTTTCTCATTTGCTCCCTGTTTCAGTTTCCCCCTCTGTCTGTCCCTGAGTGAAGTGCGGCACACAGTGCTGTACATCTGTTGCGTGTCATTCTGTGCTGCCTATCAGATTTCCCATAAAGCTCCCGTGTTGTTCTGAATTGCTTTGCTTATACTGTCCAATTCTCCCACTTATCTGTCTGTTTAAAGAAATCTGAATCAGACCAGAAGAAGAAAAGAATATTTGTCACATATTATAAAAAAGAATACTTGAGTGATTTCCGCATCTTAGAAATAACTCTACCACTTTATGTGCTGTTAAAGTGTTTAGAAACCTCACTTTTGACATTTAAAACTGTACTATGCATTAGTACTACTTAAAACTATGTAATTATTCTCAGAGATATAAACTGAAGCGGAGGAGAGGAGATAGAGTTTGGCCTTGATAGTGATTGGCTGTTTAATGGAGATATATGGTGTAGGGAGTTGCTGCGCTCCAGGCTCCGTCACAGCAGCATACTTTCACTATTACTCTTTTGTCTTAGCTGGCCGTTTCCATAGGTTATATACGGAGCATAAGTGAGCGCTGAACGTTGGATTTAATGTGTGCGTGTAAGAAAGAGAGACAGAGGGAGAGGACTGAAGATAGACTGTTTTACATTTGTGTTTATGTGCCTGCCTTGCACTCTGTCAACGTTTGCATGCTGTTGGCTTACTTAGAGTGTGCATATGTATATTCCTGTGTGCCTTTCCACTTGAGAGATGGAAAGTGCGCCACATGTCTGTTTATATTAACTTTCTGCTATTGAATGTGACCGCTCACTCTCACACCTTTTCCTTTTTCCTTTCTCTCTCTGTCATTGGGGGTTAACACCTTTCTGATTACTTCTCTGCTGTCCCCCATTTTTCTGTTTCTCCTTCTCACTGACTCAATCCCGCTCACTCAAAACATGCCACTTTGTTTCTGTCTCTACCTCTACCCTCCCTTCTTTTTCCCGCCTTCATCACCTCACCCTCCCATCCTCCCTCTTGCAGGTTGTAAAATGGATTCTCCTCAGTCAGAGTCATCAGGGGAAGGGCAGAAAGCGGAAGAGAATAGAGCCCAAAGTGAACTACAGAGAGGTAGGAGGCACTCTACTGTATAAAGAGCTCTATATACCTTCCCTCTGCTCTACTTCTAAGTTTTGGAAGTGTGCCTTTCTCTTTTGGAAACCTCTATCTTCCTATCTATGTGGATCTTCTGCTCTCTTTAAGTAGCTGTGATTCTTGAGCTGTACATTTTTTCGTTTGTCTGACAACACAGTTATCTCCAGTCCTGTTTATGTGTTGTGTCTGCGAGGACAGACTACCCTGTACTTGTTTAAGTCTGTGTTTATGTTGTGTCGTCGTCCACATATTTAACCTTTTAAGAGCTTGTATACATCACATACCCTCCAGTGTTTCTGTGCGTGCATGTCTGTGTGGCCATGGCCAATGTGTGTGGGGTGGTGTCTGTGTTTGTCTGGAGGGGGTGGGAACCATTTAGCCTCGACAGTCTGAGTTTGAATCTGGCCTTGAACCTTTGTTGCATCCCTCCCTCGCTTCCTATACTTCCTGTCAGTTTGCACTGTTTACAACCAAATAAAATGCTGAAAAAAGCCATAAAAAATATCCAAAAAAGATGGTTTTGCCTGTGTGTGTAGTGGTAATTAGGGCTCTCTAGGGATGGCTAATCCCCTCCACCCACTAATTGACACACACACTTGCACACACGCCTGTATCATTAATGAACGCACACTGATCTATAAGCCACAGAGGACCAGAAGTCATTAGCAAGACGAGAGCAGCTTTTATATATCACTCTCAATATGCTATGACTGTAGGAAACATTGGCAAAGCCTCTCATCTTTTTGTACATTTTATGGCATGAATAAGTTAGGTAAGTGCCCCTGGGTGTCTTTGAATAAAATTTTGGAAGGAAAAATAAAACACTCATTCATTGCCAAGAATATTGTATATATCCAGTGAGTTTTTAGGGCTTTAAATTTCCCTTCAACACTGTGTACCGCAGCTTTCAACAGATGAAATATTAGCTTTATTCCTAAGCAAAGGTATACATGTTTAAGCTGTACCTGAAATCTGGAGAGTATTTCGTAAAACCTCATGTCGAAACATGATTTCTCTGGATTAAATTACCTCCAATTCCTGTGTTGTAATTTGGAGCGCACAGTGAATGAAATGCCTGTAGAGTCTGTGGCCAGTGCAGCCTCCTTTAACCACCTGATACCTACCGTCTGGCATATTTACAATGTACACACACATACACACAAATACACTTACTTCTAAGGGGCAGCAAAAAGGGCCTCTTCCTGTGGGGGGCAGAGAGTGCTGAAATCAGCCTCATGAAAGAATAGCCTATTACTGTCCACTTGGCCATACACAATAGTGAGAAAGAGGAGGGAGGGACGGATGGACGGACGGATGGAGTGAAGGAGAGGGGGGATGTAGGGGCGGGGGTGTGGGAGGTCAGTGTTTGAAGTTACACCATAAAAGCCATCCTGAAAGGAAACACGAAGTGACCCCTCCCCTCCCCCCCTTTCCATCCACCTCTCTCCCCCTGTGGCCCGGCCCTCTCCTCTCTCCTCCTTTACGTCTCCCTCCCCTCCCTTTGTTTCTGTGTACAGAGTGCCCCATGGATGGACCAGGTGTATTTTATATTACTCCTTCATGTACTTCAAACGCCAAACAGCCCAATTTCTACTCAACCCCTCCTCTTTTAATCTACCTCTCCTCCCTTTCTCTTCCCCGCGTCTACCAGCCTGTTGCAAGGCTATAAATCACTCAGCAGACCCGATGGGCAAAAGAGGAGGAAAGGCGGTTAAAACACAGGAGACAGGAAGGTAGAAGGGGAAGAAAAAGTTAAGATGAATCAGAGATGAAGGTACAACTGGAGCATAGAGCAACGAGAGTGAAATATAAAAAAAAAAAACACTTGACGCCCCCGCTGGGCTTCGTATGTCCCCTGTGGTTATCTTTTAGATCAATTCAAATTGGAATGGAAACATGTATTCAAGCCACAAAATGATGCACTTGGGTGGAAAAATACAAAGGGAAAGGAAAGAGCAGAGGATTCTTCAGCAAAGAGAATAAATAGGGGGTGGAATGAGAAGGAATGAGAGGATGAAGAAAAGGTAGAAAAGTAGAGCAGAGAACAGAAATTGGTAAGCCAGGATTTTAAGAGGATTGAGGCAAGAGCGAGACTAGTATTGGGTTAGAAGTTGATGATTATGAATTCCAGTAAGCTAATGAATATGTTGCGGGCATTTGAGGAAATGAAGAGTAGAGTGGATATTTGAAAAGATGAGAGAAGCACAGGAGAGATGAAATATTACAGGACTGGTCAGATGATGTAAGAGCGGTTGGGAAAAGAGGAAAGAGATGGCAAGGGAGGGAAGAGTAAACGCTAGGACTATAAGTGGGCAGGAATTAGGCTGAACCAGGGTCGCATTTAGCACTAATGGCATCATGGATGATTAGGGAATATACGCTCCCTCACAAACCTATAGATGCACTCAGTGGAAAGAGCCAGACACCGCCCACAGAGCAGCCCGAGATCTGGTCCATTTAATAGAGCCAAAGTTTATTACCAACTTCCCCTCATCTTTGTTTCTGTTACGTTATTGATTCACACGCATCTTAGTGTGCATGTCTGACTTTTTTGTGCACACGTATAACTTGCGTGTGACGAGCGTGCGTGTGTCCAGTGTGTGTGGAGAGGTCTGTAGAGGGATATTAGTCACGCCCGCGTGGTAATGGGCCTCATTTTGTTCTCATTTTCATCTGCGGTTTCCGTAATGAGAGGGTATGTCTGCCCCTGCTGATCAGGACAGGAAACCCTGTAGGGGAAAAGAGCTGTGAATAGCAGGAGACCTTGGCCAACTTTCCTGGGAACAACACATGCTTCTCTGCTCTTAAAGGATGCTGTCTGTAAGTTGTAATTGACCTGGGTCAATTATTGATCAACTGGAGTCCATGGTAAAATGCCTCAACAATGATCAATAGGTATCACGGCATACCTTTCCTAAAACCTCAGAGTGCAACCTTGCTGTAGAGCATGTCCAATACACTCAGGGTTCTTGGAAACACTGGCCTGCAGAATGGGCTTAATGGCTGACAGATGCGGCCTAACTCTATTTTAACTTAAAAAAAAAATCATAATTTTGCCTGGTGATTTAAAGTAGTTAAGTAGTGTTACTGTGGTAAATACTTAAATACTGTAGATTAGTGCATTCCTATTTCTGCACTAGAATACAAAATAGTTGATGCAGTATGACACATCCTAGCACCTTTGGTGCAGATGTGATAAGGTTCTGTATATAGAAAGTGTTTACATGGCTCTTCCTCTGGATAAACAAATCCGGGAAATGGCGCAATCCTGAATTCTTGTCATTCCTGATGAAATTGTTCTGCACCGCACTATTTTTAACTTTACAGTGCTTACCTCTCTGAATCTAAGTCTGCACAATTATTATGTCCACCAAACTAATTAGGGTTATTTTGGTGGATATTGAGATCCTAATTATGAATCAGCTATCCTATATTATTCCTTTTGTTATCTTGATTGCTTAAACCACACCTAATGATTTCAATTTTTGTAATATTAATTCTACAGGCTAAAACAGAAACATATGATTATGAACAGTAAATCTCTGCACAGATTGTGCAGGAAGGCACTGGCTGGGAGCATAATGTATGTTAGAACAGGGACATTTTTCTGTGTGCCACAATAACTGACTGAACAGATGCAGCAGAATAGGTGGACGATGAGTCAGCCTCTATCTATGTGTCACTCTGTCACCTCATTTGCACCTACATGGCAATCTGTACCCTCCTGGCCGATGGTACGGGTTACTATGAAAACACATACCATCAGGTTTGTGGCTGAGAAAATGTCAACAGCAACAGGTTTAGAGGAACAGCCTGTCTTAAAATGGCACCTCACACTGTACACAGTCATCTGTTGAAAGAGACTTCAGTTTACTTGCAGCAATTTTACAATATCTAAAAGCAAAAATAATGTGTTGTATGACTAAGGCTGGTCATTTCAGTTTTATTTTAAGTGTTTAGAAGTTTGGAGATGTAGTTGTACCTTTGGTTTTACAAAAATTTTATATCTAGAAGTCAAAAGCAATTGGACTTTCAATTCTTGAAGGTATTTTGCTTCTCATCCAAATGGCCTCTTCAGTTTTGAACTGAAGCCTTTGATTTTACACTTCTAAACCTTGACCTGAATGACACAGAATCTTTCACCCTTAACTCAAGGTCCACTTACATCTCACAGTCTTTCCTCAGCAGATTACGATTTGGAAGCTGTGATGCATGTAAGCCACTTATCACTCGACCTATGTATAGAAATTTTGTCATATGATTAACACGTGGCCGTATGTGGTGGAGGTATCTATGCTTCCTGAAATTGAGCAACTGAGCTATATCCATGACAATTGACCAATATTATGAGCCAATAGTAGAGAGATTATAAAAAGTTAGGGGGGAGACAGATGGGAAACAACATGAAACAAAGGTCCCTGGCTGGACTCGTTGAACAGGAAACGTCTAACTCCACTGCCGTCAAGCTAAAGGTCTCCGAGTTAAAATAACACAAAGGATGTTGCTCCTACAGCAACACAGGTATGCCACAAGGACACAGACACCAACTTCTATTTTAGGAGATAATGTAAACCCACAGAGAAATGAACCGAGTTCGAGCAGTGACTGAAATCCCTTGTGATGTGCTTAGGTGTGATGTTGATGGTTCGACAAGGGAGGTAGTAGTGGTAGCTGAAGCCCCTGTGGGAGGGTAAACAGTAGGGAGGGCATGATCAAAGAGCCTCTTCAGTTGGGTGGGGTTTGCAGGTGGCGTACATTACACTGCTCTGCCATAATAGGTTTCTGTAAGTGGAGGATGGGAATAAAGGCAGGAGAGCAATGTGGAAATAGTTTCAGTCTGTGCTGATTTGTGAAACGGAAAAGATGGATTGAATTTAATCCTAGTCTGTGTTTTTCCAGAATAGACTTCAATGTGTTGTGTGTGCACAAGTGGTTAAATTGGTTAAAGCGTGAGTAACAAATTACCCAACAGTCTT